GGATGAAAAATATGAGGTATTTTGGTGGTGGGGGGAGGGTGGTGGGAGGCGGGTGGGGGTGGTGGTGGGTCGTGATATTGCACTGAGTCTCCACATCATTTGCTTTAATGCTGTTCAACGTCACAGGGTTATAAAGTCATACTGCATGGAAACAGACCCTTCAGTTCAACCAATCCATGCCAACCATAATCCCAAACTAAACTGCCTGCGCCCAACCAATATTCTTCTAAACATTGATAACAAGGTGTAGAGCTGGATGAACACAACAAGTCAAGCAGCATCAGAGGAGCAGGAAAGCTGATGTTTCGGGCCTAGACCCTTCTTCTTCATTTCTGAAGAAGGGTCTAGGCCCAAAACGTCAGCTTTCCTGCTCCTCTGATGCTGCTTGACTTGTTGTGTTCATCCAGCTCTACACTTTGTTATCTCAGATTCTCCAGCATCTGCAGTTCCTACTAATCATTCCAAACATTTCCTGTTCATGTACTTATCCAAATGTCTTTTAAATGTTGTAACTGTACCTGTATCCACCACTTCCTTTGGAAGTTCATGCCACACACGAACCACTCTCTGTGTAAAGAAAATCACCCCTCGTCTTTTTAAAGTCTTTCTCCTCTCTCCTTAAAAATATGTTCCCTAGTCTTGAAATCCCCCCATTCTAGAGAAAAGCCACCTGCCATTCACCTTATCTATACCTCTCATGGTTTTATACACCTCTATAAGGTCACCTCTCAACCTCCTACGCTCTAATGAAGAAGTCCCAGCCTACCCAGCCTCTCCTTATAACTTAAACCTGCCAATTCCAGCAACAAACTGGTAAATCACTTCTGACCACTCTCCATCTTAATAATATCCTTCCTATAACAGGGTGACTAAAACTGGATACAGTACTTCATAAGAGGCCTCATCAAAGTCCTATACAACTTAAATATACATCCCAACACCTGTGTTCAAAGGTCTGAGCAATGAAGGCAAGCGTGCTAAATGCCTTCGTAACCACCTTGTCTATATGTGACTCAAACGTCAAAGAATTATGTACCTGAACCCTTAGGTCTCTACAACATTACCTAAGGAGCTACCTGATCTCCTTGGCAAAGCAGCAACAAGTCCCCATTGTGGCTGCTGTCTGAAGAGAGAAGTGAGAATATTTTATAGAAATTTGAGTATTTTGCATTATTGCATTATTGCCAACTCTTGTCAAATGCAAAGATTTTGCCAGCTCCACTAAATACATAACAAGGAAAATATAGTTGAGGTTGGTTGGCTCACCAACTGGTTTCTTGTTTTGCAGACGTTTCGTTACCATGCTGGGTAACATCCTCAGTGCAGCCTCTGATGAAGCGGTGTGTTTTCCCACCTGGTTTTTAAACTCTGGGCTACACAACCCGAGCTACAAATCTACTCCAAAACCTTAAAGGAAAGTATAGTTTCAATACATGAACAAAATACCACAAACTCGATAGAATTTTCATCAAAAGATAATGGACTCAAATGAATGGAAAGAAAAAAGTAACAATTCTTTTTTAGAAAAGCCTGCAGCCACAGCAAAAAGATAACGAACTGCTAGAAACTAATATCTCTTGGTTTATTCTCAAGATCATCAAAAAGAGCATATGCTTTGCAAAGGAAACAAGATAGCTGCCGAGTGAAATACCTGTATCTTTTTTAAACATTCTCCACGTACAGTGGAACTACAGTAATTTGAAAACACTGCTCCTGACATCTACCTTAATTAGTTTGCTATTAGTTTGTAAAGTCATTAATTCTTACAAAGAAAATTCTGTCTATGTTATTCAACAGCACCTGAACAGAATAAATTATCCTGCCTCCCTCTTACGACTTCACCATCCCTTTACATTTCCAGTGTACATTTAGTTCAAAGTCATTAATTGAGCATTGTACTTTTGAATCTAGCTGTGCATCAACTTCACCCAGTCCTTTCAGTGAATCGAGTTTTGGGATCAACTTTTGTAGAGTACTTTGGTCCAGTGCCAAAGACTTTCGCACAGAGGACTAAACAACAATGTAAACAGATTCTGGCATTCTGAGCTTCCCATCAACGTCATTCCAATGGTAGAGTTCACTGGACAAATATATGTACACAACTTATTGGTCTCCGTGGTGGTATATTTTGGTGACACTCATATGGCTACTTTTTTTGTAAACTTACATTGTGCACTACCCCACTGACCATTGAAAGTAATGCAGATTGGCTCATCAACCTCATTACTGCCATAAAACCTAAGATTTCCTTCCAGTGTCCCTGGCTGTAGCTATTTGGAGATTTTTTTTGAGTTTCCTCAAGATCTTCCTAATAAGAGTGTATGAGCAACAAGTAATACTGGGATTGAGGTAATTGCAATCTAGTGAGGACCATCTCAGCTCTCTTATGTCCAAAGCTCAGCACACTAAGAGTGAATCGAATAATGTGAGATACCTTCAGTATATCATCAGGATTGAGAACATTCATTGAGAAACCTGTGCCTTTTATCATTCACTCAATCTAATAGGAAGACAGAATAATGGTGGTATTGCACATAATTCATAAGTTTTCTTAATCTTCTATTGATTTAGTTAATACTTCTAACTGTATCAAAGATGATTAAATTGATTTGTTTATCATTTTTTTGCAACACAGCAGAATATTGAATTTGTCTTCAACATTTTGCTCTTACTGGAAGATGTTTCTCAGACTTCTGTATCCTGCGTTTGCCCTACTGAATGTCAGTTGTTCAATCCCATTTCATATATAGAGTAAAAGGCTACAGCAGGTTGCCAATTCACCCTCCCGGGTGTAATTGCTAGTTTCTAGAATGTTCAATCACAAGGTTTTCTTTTTGTCCCATGGGTCCTGTTTTTATTAATATATTCATAGGATAAGGTGCCTTGGATGCAAGAGCAATGTCTAGAAAAACTATTTTCTCCACATAAATGTGATACTTGCGCCTATTTCTTACCTGTTTATTCAGAATACAGCAATGCAATAATACCAGGCAGGTTCATTGCAAATATTGCAGTCATCAATTGCTGCCCCTCTACTCGAGAATGATGCCTACTTAGCACTGGGGCTTTTTGGCATGGGTTTTAATGTGACTGAACAGGCTACTCCATGGCACGCTGCTTATTGAGCGGAGAAAGCAAGATGCCAGACACGAATACAAGATTTACTTCTTTTTCTTTCCCAGCTTCTGCTCTGCTTCATCAGGTAGGTGTTTGGACTCAAATGATGATGCAGTCGGATGGACAAGTTGCAAACCTGTTGAACAATTGGTCGTGGGCTCTTCTCAGTCGTTAACGTCAACATTGCCATGGGTCAAGGAGTGCGTCAGAGTATTTTTGAAGCACTTTTTTATCCACCTCTGGAACATTGCCCAACTGAGAGCTGGGGTAAAAAAGAACACGGCAGGGAAAACAGTTTTCAGCCATTTGGGCTACACGTCCAGTCCATTGCAGCTGCTTTTGCAGGAGATTTTTGTCTGAAGACCTGTGGAGCTGCCTTCACAGAGTTTATTGCAATACTAACACTGCTTATATCAGCATAACACATCAGTATTACAACAGCCTGGTATGTATATGCCCAATATATTCTGACACATCTACTTATAAAATCAACTTCAATCATGTGGACTTTAAATTTTTTTGCTGTGAATTAAGAACTAGCCCAATTACTACCTGTTGGAATATGTAGTATAATGACTCAATACTTAGAATGATTTATTGATTGACTATTTGAACCAGCAAATAATCATCTCAATTAGTGTTATTTGCCCACAGTACTGAGTATTTGCCTTCGCTATTGGTGACAGATTTTGCAAGTGACCTGTAAAATCTATCCAGACTCAACCTCAAAGGCTTGAACTCTCATTTTTGTCATATTTCACCTTGTCAAGGCCACATGGGGATATCACTGCACAACCTGTAGAAATTCAGAAAAGGGAGGCAAGCTGATTGCACAAAAATCACTTTTTTACATATATTTATTTATGGGACATTAGCCCCTCTGACAGGGCCAGAATTTATTGCTAATCCATAATTGCCTGTGAGAAGATAGAGTCGTACAGTTTGGAAACAAGCTCTTCAGCCCAATTCATCCATACCGATCAGATTTCTTAAATTGAGCTAGTCCCATGGGCCTGCGTTTGGTCCATATCCCTCTAAACCGTTCTTATCCATGTACCTGAACAAATTTCTTTTAAAAGCTGTAATTGTATCTGCTTCTACCACTTCCTCTGGCAGCTCATGCCTATATGTACCACCCTTTGTGTGAAGAAGTTGCCCTTCAGGTGCCTTTTAAATCTTTCCACTCTGGCCTTAAACCTGTGCCCTCTAGTTTTGGACTCCCAAATCCTGGAGAAAAG